AACACTTCTCTGCGCTTTAAATTATAGATATATGTAATAAATAATTCATTTCATATCTTCTCTTACAAAATCACACCCATTATCAAATATACAAACATATTAATTAAAAGAAAATTTATGTATCAATTCGTTGAATTAAACAACAAGTACATTTTAAATTATTTAATGCCGCCCAATGTATAATAATGTGGTATGTTTCTTCGGGATATATATATAATCAATATAGAAGTGTTTCAAAAATGTCAGAAAATGCAATGATTTAAATTATGCGGCTTTGCAATTTCTTTGAAACATTCGCGTCAAAAATTTTTTACTTAGAATTAATAAATTTAATTGACTTTACTATTAAATTAAAGTACACTCTTTTGTCTACGCGTAGAATACCTTTTTGAGGTATAAATAAATCTGCAAATGTTCATAAAATGTCAAAGAAAGGCAATGCTGTAAATGGTACAAATTTGCCATTTCTTTGAAAAGTTTCGGTAAATATTTTTTATATTAAAAGTGAATAGATTTTAATGACTCTAATATTCAATTAAAGTACATTCTTTTGTCTATGCGGAGAATACCGTAGAATGCCGTAGAAACCAGACATATAAATATATAAAGAAATTAAAAGTTTAATATAATTACAAAGTTAAACATAATATGGAATATACATTTTAATAAGCAATTCTTAGCATGTATAAAATGTATTAACAAGCATTGTACTCGGTAATTGAAAACATTATTATACATTGACTGATAATAAATAGTGCAAAGGAATCTACCCTTTTTATGCCAAAACATTTTTATTCTTTCTAGACTTTACTATACACTTCGCAGCTTGCAATATGATTTCATAAAATTCAAGAAATGTTAATAAATAATTCATGTTAAGAATTGTTTGATGATCATTATCCTTGATTAAAGGACAGACTCTTGTCATAATCTGTATTATTTTAGTTGGTCCTAGTTCTTGGAAACTGAATAATTCTCTTGTATTATTACTCTGCCATTTTTCAATTCTCTGCATTTTATGATTAGTTTGCATAAAAGGTTTATCACCTCTTGAAAAAAAATGAATTCTTTCGCCAATTATAACACAATTCAATCCATTAAAAATGTATTCTGGCTTAATTAAAGTAGTTTGGGCTATTGAAGATATATTAGTACCTATTTTACGATTTTTAATACTTGCTATTAACAGATCTATTGCAGTTGGTGGATATCCTATTTTTTTGTAAAGTTTATATATAGGATTAATTGGTACAAAAATATTATATTCACGTGGAATCACACCTATCAAAAAATATATAAATCATTTAAAAATATTAGGTTATCCCCCCCCCAAAAGTTTTTCTTTTTCTGACATTAGTAATTTTGCATATCGAATATTTTTTATTTTATGTTTATTTGTTGTTATTGAATAACATAAAAGAATAGAAAAAGAAGGTAATAATATAGAATGGATTGTATATTATTCAATAAAATAACCTTAGCATAAAATTTTCTTATTTGTGATTAAATATTTATAACCTTAATGAAACATACCAATAAAATTTCCAACATTGGGATACACATCATGTGTGAGAAATTCATTTAGACATTTAGCTAACACTCCATGTTCCCACTGTTTTTTTATTTTCACTTTTATTTGATTATTTTGCCAGTAATAAATACGCCATGAAACTTCAAGCAAAGCATGCAGAAATTGCCAGATTTCAATTTGTTCGAATGGGTAATATGGCTTTTTTATAAAACTTGATTCATTTTCAGCTAATAACCGTAACATATTATTTTATAAATGTGTGTGTGTGTGTATGTGTGTGTATACGCGTATAAAAATCAATATATACTCCATCAGTTAATAAAATGCAAATAATCATGAAAATTTACTGACCTAAATAATTATCAATTTCAATTAGACTGAAACCTTTGATATTTATGTTACAATCACGCCATAATTGCCAAAGTGTCAGTTTAATCATAACGAAATGACACTTACAATTAGATTCTTCCTTGTTAAATAATTTTGCATAAATGTCATAGACATGTCGTATTTGTAACATGTGCATTGTTAAATAATCATATATTTGATGTTTTTCATATTGCCATTTTATATCGTTTATGGGAATATTTAGATCATTCCTTGTTTGAAATGAAAATTGAAGCAAACAAGAGCATGATTGTTTTTTTTTGCAAACATAGCATTTTCCTAAGGAACGAGAACAAACTGAAAAGTTTGTCATTGATGATAGTTTAATTAAACGATTTATATGGTACGATAATGATGGAAACTGTTCTGGCTTTAAAATTGTAGCTGTACGAGGCTTCAGGATATTTGATATCTTATTTGCATGTCTATAAATAATAAATAAACAATAAATTCTCAACTACTTGACCTTTTCACTTATTGATTATTAAAAACATAAATTTTATTATTCTTACGAAGAAGTTAAAATATCTTTGGAATATAAAGGTTGGTCCTTCATTAATTCTCCATTATTTCCTATAAATCATTACTATGATACATTAAAATTTCTGAGGCTATTTACTTAAAATAAAGTCTTTCATAATTAAAGACTTAAAAAGAGTAAGTAAAGTTTACCAATTATTATTCCATAACCATGTTTCTTATCATATTTCCAATGGCCAAAATACTTTACACCACCCATTGAATTCAACTTCAATAAACCTATTCGAAATGATTAAAAAAACAACATTTTACAGTCAAAATAAGTACGCTGACGTAGCCTTAAATTATTAATTATTATTCAGTTACGTACATACATGTGATATATTTATGGTAATGAGATTGTCAATGAAAATCTGATATTATACTTATTTACAATGTCAGAAAACTTTATCTCGCTGGTATATTTTACTTGTACATATAATTGAAAATATCTATCACATTTATCATATTAAATAAAATTCTATAAGTGCACCAAACGAAGAATTATTTTTGAAATGAATGGCCAATATATTAATTTCATTTAATTTGCACTAATATTTTCAAAGGTAATCATTAATAATCTACTAACCTTTTCCATGTTTTGTACTGCAATACCAATTGCCAAAATAAAAAATACTTTGTGGCCAACTGAAACTCTTGTTGCAAAAGCCATGCCATATATATTCACCATAACTATTAATTGTTGAAATTATATCGATCACGTTAATTTTTAGTAATGAAAAAGAGAAAAGGAATAATTAATGACCCATGTATATCTCCACATTCCCATTCTCCGTGATAAACATCGCCATTGGGCCATGCCATAATTCCACTTCCATGTCGAAAATCATTTTTCCAATGGCCTTTATATCGAGCTCCGCTTGAATAAATATAAAAACCTATACCATTTCTCTTACCCATTGACCACTCACCGTCATATGAGTCACCCTCAGCGTAACAACAATAACTATATATATATATATATGAAAGAAAAAATGAATAGCATTATTAATTGAAAAACTTATCTCAAGACCAATTAAGACGATACTTGGAGAATGTACATAAAATAATCTCAAACCCTTTTCCATGCCTGTATCCCATGTACCATTGACCTATATACAAACGATAATGATCTTTGTCCACCAGTGTACCTTTACCATGGCGATAACCTTTCATAAATGCTCCTTCGTACCAACAATTGCTCTGCCATTCTAAAAGTCCTCTACCTTGTATTTGATTTTCCTTAAACTGACCCTATTAACAACTTAGTTAATTAATATTTATAAATTACGTAGTGTAATTTTTGCAAAGAAAATATATCTTATGATGAAAACGTTTTGAAATTGAACCTTATATTGTATACCATGATGCCATTTATATAATCCTTCACCGTTCATCATTTTTCTACTTGTACAACCATAGTAGCTATTATTATTGAGAAAATAGAAATAAATGTGTTCATTTTTTAAACTTGATCTTAAATTTAATTTATTTGTTCTATCTTTTATAAGATCATTGTTTTCATCAAATTTCATTTCTCTAATATCTTCTAATGACTTATTTTCATTTTCATCCTCATTATTAAGAATTCCGCATATTTTATTATTGCATATTTGTGGGATAATAAACTTCTTAGATAACAAATATCCGTCCAACCTACATCAATATAAAGGAATAATTTCAAATAAACTAGGCAAATGAAAAAGAAAAAGAGACAATTACTCGGTTACAAAATTTTCCAATAAATCATTGTATAAAGAATAAATAAATTTATCTTTAGCACCATATTTGTGATATTTTTCTGCTAGAATATACTGGAAAAATAACTCTTTCTCGAAAATTCTTTCTTTTTGTTGTTCTATATTCTCTTCCTGTGCATTTTTTCTGTCTTCTAAAACTTCTGGTTTGATCATTATTTTTTTATTATTTGTCTATTTGTTCGTCTTGATTCAATTAATCTATCAATTCTCATTGTCCATTTGAATACAATTGTACAATTTGAATTTACAAAATAAGTTCTGAAAACGTATAGAATCGAGTTACTTGGAAGAAAAAAAAACATATCGTCTGTGTCCAATAATGTTTTTTTCGTAGCGTATTTTAAAAGGAATAGTATGATCTACATGTTCAATAATACGTTTTATAGTTTAAAAATATCACTTTTATTTATTTTATTGGTAGTAATAATAGTAGCAGTAGTTTGATATATAAATTTATCGAAATGAAAAAGAGAGAGAGAGAGAGAGGACAAATAAATGTGAGTTACATTGAAGGTTAATCGAATCGATAATACAAATTAAATATAAATTTATGTATTATTCTATGCATATATAATGTGCATTTCAGTCGATTTGTCTACCCTGCGATGACGAATCTGAAGATTTTCAACCCATTCAATTTAATGTACCCGCGTCATATAATAAAAAAGTCCAAATTCATAATTGGTAAGTAAATATTATCATCGTTATACGCGTAGTGACGACAAACGTACTCCACCTCCTTCACTATTACACCTTATTATATTACAACACCTTAGAATATATGTACACATACATATGTGTATCAAGAAACTGTTAAGAACGCTTGATATTAATACTTTAAAGAATAAATATATGCATGTTAGACTTAATTTTTGAAAGTAATGTTGCAACTACTATAATACACAACTATTGAGATCATGTATACACAATTTGAAGTGAATCAAATAATATTTTTTTTTGTAGAAGTTATTAAACATTCCTTGAAAAGATGTACCAGAAAAGGGTCACGAAAGGGTCATAGCAAAGCATAAAACTCCCTACGCAATGTCTCTTTGTTAATTGAATTTACGTTTGCAGTTTTACTAAAAAAACATTGTTTAACTGATTGATTTCTAGATTTTCTAATACTTTCGCGACCCCATACTACTGTACATATATACCGTATTCGAAGCAAATTAAATTACAATATTATATCTTGTACATTTTTATATAGGCAAATGAATACGTTGGCAGAACCAAAAGATAATAAGGATATTTTTCCGCCAAAAGGAAATCTTCGAAATTCAACTTACAGACGATTAGGCTCACTAAACGAACCTATAGGTGTATCTGAAACTCGTGCTATGTTATCTCAAATAAATTTCAAAGATTTATACAAATCGATGCAGCCACATAGAAGTTATCTTAAGATGCTATCTCTTGCAAGGACCAAGTAAGTAAAATTTGTATACACTTAAATATATGAAAAATTTGAAAACTTATAACTTTGAAAACAAGGGAAGAATATGAGAAAGATTTTAAATTAGAGGATATAATCTATAATCCTGAAGATATGCGCTGCATAGATTATCGAACCACAACAGAAATTGAATATCGAGCACCATATCCAATTAAATCTAGACCATTGCCTCAAACATCTCCTCCAGAACCATGGCTACTTAATCGACGAACTATCAGTCATACTCTCGAAGATCTAGAGAAGCACGATGCTATCATTACATTCCTAGATGACAATATGGAACTTCGTAATTGCATAGCTGGTCCAAACAAGCAACGAAAGAAAATGAGAGATATTATTTAGAGCTCGGAGAATTCGATCGACTCTTTAAATGGATACCATTTGTATTGAATTGTCAAAAATCATGATATTAGAAAATATCAAGATGTTGCATGTCATTAGTAAATAAATAAAAATTCATAGTATTATGGTATATAAAATGAAAAAATTAAAATGAATGTTTGTGTTTATTTATAAATAAAAACAAAAGTTTATTGAATTATATACAATTTTTCATTGAAAAACATATCTACAAGATAGCCTTTTTTTTGATAAGACTTGTTATAGCATTAATATAAAGAATAATATATCCAAATATAATTTAAGATAATAGGATTTATATGCAGAAGATTGTACATCATTGCTCATGGTAGATGCAATAGTTATAGAATTTCTTAAAATAATGATTACTTCTGTGCTGCGCTATTGTAAGAACAAAATCAACTATCATATTGTGGCACTCTGTATGTGAAGTTATTACTTGTAACAATATTAATTCCGGCACCATAATATGGCATAACATAATGCGAACCATCTGCTGGGCCAACAATCTGCGTTGCTATTAATATAACATCTGCAAATTGACCCAGGAAGAGAAAACCTAAGGTACTCAATTTCAACAATCCAAGTGCTGGATATCCAAGATAAAATCGGTCTGCGCCAAACATACCCAAAAATATAGACAATAGTAAAGTTGTTTCAAAGGAATATCCATTACTGTAAATGATTATAAAAGAATGTTCGTTGTGATAAATTATGTGTGTATTAATTAATGTATATAAATTAATAATGTATGTATACATAACAACACATACGTCCATCTACAAGGTATATCCTTTTTAAAAGTATTATTCCTCGTTTCTGTACAAATAAGCCCATCTGCGACTAGACATAAAACTGAAAAATTAAATAAATTATTCATCAAGTTTACATAATTCTAATTTCTATTGATCTCGACATAAGCATACAGAGTGTATTTTAAAAAAAAGTATATAAAGATGAAATATTAAAAAGTTTAATACTGTTATTGATATAAAGGATAAATATAAGTAATATAAATATTATAAGCAAATATATGAATATATAATTAAATTTACCTCTAGCTTTATTATCTTTCGTACATCCTTTAGGTTGTTGAGTCTTTTTATCTATGAAATCATAATCGGGATGAGGGCAGATGTATTGTCCAATTCGCAAATTACTACAGTCAATTTCATATGTGTTATCGGCAGCATTGCTGTATAAAATTAATAAAGAAAGTAACCAAATTACATTAAAAAGTTCTGCTGGATAACGCATAACGTTTCATTTTAGATTAATACTATTATTGTTACACCGTAATACGAGTCACTGCTAGTTCATGATTAAGTGATATCTGCATTTTTGTTGTATGTTGTATTTTGAACATAATGTAAAGAGACACGAGCGCGCTGCTGTCGTTTTCATACTTTAAGTTCTTAGAACAGGATCGGCGGTAATATTTCCTTCTGATGAAAAATGAAATTTGCCCTTAGTTTGTGATAACCGTGAAAACTTTTATAGAGTAAGAGTCAACATACTCTCAGATTCTAATAATAATATAGTAATATATAAATGACATATAAATGCTATTATTATATTAATAATTATATTGTTCTGTAAATTCTTAAATAATCTAATTGTATTAATATCAATTTAATACAAATCGTAGACGGTATACGATAACGGGAAAACATAAATGAAAATACTTATTGTTAAACACAGTCAACAATAATCAATAAAAGAGATAGGAAAAGAGAGCTTTTTGTCACATAATCACGAACTATGATAGTTACGAAAAGGAAGTGTCCTTCTCAAAACTACATCGATGGTGGCATCAATATTTATGCCAAGTGGCTACTCTATATAATACTCTTTAGTTAATGTTTTAATGCATAGAAGAATTTTGTATGTTCAGACATGCCAACTACATCCGCATGCGCTTTATTCCAAAAAAATCATCAGCCATATTGGTGTGTTTTATCGCTGCTCTTAATTATTTCAAAGATCACAAAGGTATTTGTTTTATTTGTTTAGAAACTTTTTATAAGTATTTTATACAGCATTAAAAAATAAATATTTTTTCAAGATTTGTCTAAATAAATGAATCTTTTATTCGGTATTTAATGTGACATCTATCGACAAAAAAAGTTTGGTTAATATTGCCACCTTGGCTTAGAAAATTGCATCGTTAGACAATATTTCATAAATAAAGATTTAATATTTGCTCTATTAAGAATGATTAAATGATAACATATATTTAGTATCTTTATTTATCTATTAAAGGTAACTTTGTAATTATAGCATCTTAGAAAAAATTGCTCATAACATGCCATTTCTACCGTCTGTTGTGTACTTTTTTTTTGTTATTTTATTTTATTCTTTATGTGTTGCATTTATCTTTTAAAAATAAAATGTCAACGCCTTGAATTTTTAATAAAAATAATTTTTATTATTTTGTTATAATTTTCCTTTCATTTAATTTCTTATATATTTACCATATGATACCGTTAGGTTTTTATAGAATATTTTAATGCATATAGATTCTATATATTTTATGCTGAGCAATACATTTTCTGTATTCGTCATGTTCAATAATTATTTTCTTTTTTTTTTTTTATATACATTATTTAGTTTATTTATGAACATGCTAATATTTTTTCTTATAAAAATGATTTTTAAAACTTTACATTATATTTTTGTTATTATATAAACTGTGTATTATCTTATTTTTCTTGTTGTTTTCTTTTTATTCTTTCTCTCTCTCTCTCTCTCTCTCTCTCTCTCTCTCTCTCTCTCTCTCTCTCTCTCTCTCTCTTTTATTTTATAGCAAATAGTACATCATGACGG